GGAGATGGGTAAGGGACAGAGTAAAGGGGTGTCTCAGAAGTACTGGTAGGTGTGTAGGGGGCCAAACCAAGGGACAGTGCTCGGAGGTGGGTAAGGGGCAGAGACAAGGGGTGACTCAGAAGTACTGATAGGTGGGTATGGGGCCAAACCAATGGACAGTGCTCGGAGGTGGGTAAGAGGCAGAGACAAGCGGTGACTCAGAAGTACTGCGAGGTGGGTAGAGGGTGAAACCAAGGGACAGTGCTCGGAGGTGGGTAAGGGGTGGAGTCAAGGAGTGACTCAGAAGTACTGATAGGTGGGTATGGGGTGAAACCAAGGGACAGTGCTCGGAGGTGGGTAAGGGGTGGAGTCAAGGTGTGTCTCAGAAGTACTGGTAGGTGGGTATGAGGTGAAACCAAGGGACAGTGCTCGGAGGTGGGTAAGGGGCAGAGTCAAGGGGTGTCTCAGAAGTACTGGTAGGTGGGTAGGGGGCCAAACCAAGGGACAGTGCTCAGAGGTGGGTAAGGGGCAGAGACAAGGGGTGACTCAGAAGTACTGATAGGTGAGTATGGGGCCAAACCAAGGGACAGTGCTCGGAGGTGGCTAAGGGGCAGAGACAAGGGGTGACTCAGAAGTACTGGAAGGTGGGTAGGTGGTGAAACCAAGGGACAGTGCTCAGAGGTGGGTAAGGGGCGGAGACAAAGGGTGACTCAGAAGTACTGGTAGGTGGTGAAACCAAGGGACAGTGCTCAGAGGTGGGTAAGGGGTGGAGACTGAAGCCAGAGCCTTGCCTGATCTATTCAGATAGGTTGTTCGTGGCATACTGCATCTTCCTTTAGCGCACTCTTGGACAAAGGCAGCCATAGAGTCTCGTCATAAACGCGGCGCGCTGCCATTTATGGACGCGGGTTTTATGTGTCTTTTATTGCTTCCTCGATGTCTTAAAAGTGGAATGGTGTGTAGTGAATATCGCCGCGTTTATTACAACTCCCATAAAAGGTCAGGTGGAGTCAATCCAAATTGACCATAAAAGTCTTCGCGTTTTCCTGTAAACGTCGTATCGTATGGCGCGGCATGTGTTGTAGATTTCGTGGTGGGATCGGTGTCAGCGGGAGCAGCACAAAGACCGGAGTTGTTCAGAGTTTGCATACGGCGTGAGAGCCGACCATGGGGGGGGGGGGTCATAATGCATGAGGCACGGCGGTAGAAGTTTGCGCTTCATCAACTTGTTTAATGACAGCTCTGTGACTGCACGTTGGTAGGGATTTGATTACAATGTTGCAAAGCAAAAGTTACAAAGTAACATAGTCTGTTGAAGCAACAAAGTACCGAATGTCCGATGCGGAGCGCGCATCCTCAGACCACCAAACTCGCAAAAAACCCTCAGAAAGTGTGCAAAAAAAAAAAAAAAAACTAACCCCAGCGCTGTGCGCTACCCCTTACATCTGCACTTTGCTCTTCTTACTCCTGACCCCTCCACTCTGCATTTCTTACTCCTGACCCCTCCACTCTGCATTACTTACTCCTGACCCCTCCATTCTGCATTACTTACTCCTGACCCCTCCACTCTGCATTACTTACTCCTGACCCCTCCACTCTGCATTACTTACTCCTGACCCCTCCACTCTGCATTACTTACTCCTGACCCCTCCACTCTGCATTACTTACTTCTGACCCCTCCACTCTGCATTACTTACTCCTGACCCCTCCGCTCTGCATTACTTACTCCTGACCCCTCCACTCTGCATTACTTGCTCCTGACCCCTCCACTCTGCATTACTTACTTCTGACCCCTCCACTCTGTATTACTTACTCCTGACCCCTCCACTTTGCATTACTTACTCCTGACCCCTCCACTCTGCATTACTTACTCCTGACCCCTCCGCTCTGCATTACTTACTCCTGACCCCTCCATTCTGCATTACTTACTCCTGACCCCTCCGCTCTGCATTACTTACTCCTGACCCCCTCCGCTCTGCATTACTTACTTCTGACCCCTCCGCTCTGCATTACTTACTCCTGACCCCTCCACTCTGCATTACTTACTTCTGACCCCTCCGCTCTGCATTACTTACTCCTGACCCCTCACTCTGCATTACTTACTCCTGACCCCTCCACTCTGCATTACTTACTTCTGACCCCTCCGCTCTGCATTACTTACTCCTGACCCCTCCACTCTGCATTACTTACTCCTGACCCCTCCGCTCTGCATTACTTACTCCTGACCCCTCCACTCTGCATTACTTACTTCTGACCCCTCCGCTCTGCATTACTTACTCCTGACCCCTCCGCTCTGCATTACTTACTCCTGACCCCTCCACTCTGCATTACTTACTCCTGATCCTTCAACTTATGTACTACTGCCCTCTAAACTTTCCATGAACAACTCCTGATCCCTGACCTGTGCGTTACATACTTCTGACCCCTGCACTCTGTGTTACCTACTGCTCCTGATCTCTGCACTCTGTGATGCACACTCCTGGCCCTGGCGCTGTGCGTTACTTACTATTGAACTCTGCATTAATCGCTGCTGACCTCTGAACTCTGAGCACCTTACTCTTTATTCCTTGCGTTACTACTGAATTCTGAACACTGATCCCTGTTACTTAACCCTGACCCCTGCACCCTCCTTAATTTACTCCTGATCCCTGAACTGTGCATTACATACTACTGACCCCTGCACTCTCCTTAATTTACTCCTGACCCCTGAACTGTGCATTAAATACTACTGACCCCTGCACTCTCCTTAATTTACTCCTGGCCCCTGAACTGTGCATTACATACTACTGACCCCTGCACTCTCCTTAATTTACTCCTGGCCCCTGAACTGTGCATTACATACTACTGACCCCTGCACTCTCCTTAATTTACTCCTGGCCCCTGAACTGTGCATTACATACTACTGACCCCTGCACTCTCCTCAATTTACTCCTGACCCCTGAACTGTGTATTAAATACTACTGACCCCTTCACTCTCCTCAATTTACTCCTGACCCCTGAACTGTGCATTACATGCTACTGACCTCTGCACTCTCCTCAATTTACTCCTGATCACTGAACTGTGCATTACATACTACTGACCCCTGCACTCTCCTCAATTTACTCCTGATCACTGAACTGTGCATTACATACTACTGACCCCTGCACTCTCCTTAATTTACTCCTGACCCCTGAACTGTGCATTACATACTACTGACCCCTGCACTCTCCTTAATTTACTCCTGACCCCTGAACTGTGCATTACATACTACTGACCCCTGCTCTCTGCTACTCCTGATCTCTTCACTCTGTGTTACACGCTCCTGATGTTTGCACTCTGTGTTACTTACTTCTGACCCCTCAACTTTGCATTATATACTACCACCCTCTACACTCTTCCTTACTAACTCATGATCGCTGAGCTGTGCATTGCATACTACTGACACCTGCATGCCACGCTTACTCCTCACTCCTGCGCTCTGCATTACTTACTAATGATTTATGAACTCTGTGTTATGTACATACAACTGACCTATGTACTCTGTTTTAATTACTCATGACCTCTGCACTCTGAGTTACTTACTCCTGATCCTTCGACTATGCGTAACATAGTACTGACCCCTGCACTCTGTGTTACCTATCCCTGACTTTTTCATTCAGAGTTGCTTATTCCTGATTCCTGAACTCCACATTACTACCGACCTGTGAACCCTGCGTTACTTAAACCTGAACTCTATCTGCTGTGTTACTTACTCCTGACACCAGAACTGTGCGTTACATACTACTGACCCCTGCACTGTGCTGAACTTACTCTTGACCTCTACACTCTGTGAGTTACTTACTCCTAACCTCTGCACTGTGCTAGTTACTTACTCCTGACCTCTGCACTGTGTGTGTTACGTACTGCTAACCTCTGCACTGTGCATGTTACTTACTGCTAACCTCTGCACTGTGCATGTTACTTACTACTAACCTCTGCACTGTGCGTGTTACTTACTCCTGCCCTTGGCACTGGTCGTGTTACTTACTCCTAACCTCTGCACTGTGCTTGTTACTTACTCCTAACCTCTGCACTGTGCATGTTACTTACTCCTAACCTCTGCACTGTGCGTGTTACTTACTCCTAACCTCTGCACTGTGCGTGTTACTTACTCCTAACCTCTGCACTGTGCGTGTTACTTACTGCTAACCTCTGCACTGTGCGTGTTACTTACTCCTAACCTCTGCACTGTGCGTGTTACTTACTCCTGCCCTTGGCACTGGTCGTGTTACTTACTCCTAACCTCTGCACTGTGCATGTTACTTACTCCTAACCTCTGCACTGTGCGTGTTACTTACTCCTAACCTCTGCACTGTGCGTGTTACTTACTCCTAACCTCTGCACTGTGCGTGTTACTTACTCCTAACCTCTGCACTGTGCGTGTTACTTACTCCTAACCTCTGCACTGTGCGTGTTACTTACTTCTGCCCTTGGCACTGGTCGTGTTACTTACTACTAACCTCTGCACTGTGCGTGTTACTTACTCCTAACCTCTGCACTGTGCGTGTTACTTACTGCTAACCTCTGCACTGTGCGTGTTACTTACTCCTAACCTCTGCACTGTGCGTGTTACTTACTCCTAACCTCTGCACTGTGCGTGTTACTTACTTCTGCCCTTGGCACTGTGCGTGTTACTTACTCCTAACCTCTGCACTGTGCGTGTTGCTTACTCCTGACCTCTTCTTACTGTGTGTTATTTACACCTGACCTCTGCACTCCGCATTGCTTACTATTGTTTTGATGCTTACTTCAAACATCTGCACTCTGCGTGTATATACCCTCTGACCTCCATACTCTGTGTTTCTCACTCCAGACCCCTGCACTCTGTGTTGTATACTACTGACCCCTGCCCTAGGGCATTTGTATTCTCTCTATTGAGTTAACCAGTCCCAGCTCCTATGGAAGTCTATTTCACATTTTCACAGCTCTTACTGTAAAGAAGCATGTTCTCTAGTCACAGTGGACTGTAGACGATTTTCTAGAAGGGACTGGCAGGGGGCTATACACACACTATATTGCCCAAAGTATTGCCCCCCCCAATCATGTGATTCAGGTGTCCTAATCCCCTCCAATCATGTGATTCAGGTGTCCCAATCCCCTCCAATCATGTGATTCAGGTGTTCCAATCCCCTCCATGGACACAGGTGGATACAATCAAGCCCCTAGGCATGCAGACTGCTTCTACAAACATTGGTGAAAGAATGGGTCGCTCTCAGGAGCTCAGTGACTCCAAGCGTGGTACCGTGATAGGTGGTCACCTGTGCAATAAGTCCATCTGTGACATTTCCTGGCTACTAAATATTCCACGTTCAACTGTTAGTGGGATTATAACAAAGTGGAAGCAACTGGGAACAACAGCCACTCAGCCACCAAGTGGTAGGCCACGTCACATGACAGGGCGGGGTCAGCGCATGCTGAAGCGCACAGTGCGCAGAAGTCGCCAACTGTGTGCAGAGTCAATAGCTAAAGACCTCCAAACTTGGTGTGGCCTTCAGATGAGCCCAACAACAGTGCGTAGAGAGCTTCATGGAATGGGTTTCCATGGCCGAGCAGCTGCATCCAAGCCTTCCATCACCAAGTGCAATGCAAAGCGTCGGATGCCGTGGTGTAAAGCACGCCGCCACTGGACTCTAGAGCAGAGGAGACATGTTCTCTGGAGTGACCAATCACGCTTCTCTGTCTGGCAATCCGATGGGCATGTCTGGGTTTGGCGGCTGCCAGGAGAACGGTACTTGCCTGAGTGCATTGTGCCAAGTGTAAAGTTTGGTGGAGGGGGGATTATGGTGTGGGGTTGTTTTTCAGGGGTTGGGCTTGGCCCCCTAGTTCCAGTGAAGGGAACTCTTAAGGCGACGTTTTGGACTTTGTGGGAGGAGTTTGGGGATGGCCCCTTCCTGTTCCAACATGACTGCGCACCAGTACACAAAGCAAGGTCCATAAAGACATGGAGGAGCCAGTTTGGGGTGGAGGAACTTGACTGTCCTGCACAGAGTCCTGACCTCAACCCCATAGAACACCTTTGGGATGAATTAGAGCGGAGACTGTGAGCCAGGCCTCCTCCCCCGACATCAGTGCCTGACCTCACAAATGTGCTTCTGGAAGAATGGTCCAACCTTCCCATAGACACCCTCCTAAACCTTGTGGACGGCCTTCCCAGAAGAGTTGAAGCTGTTATAGCTGCAAAGGGTGGGGCCAACTCAATATTGAACCCTACGGACTAAGACTGGGAGGTCATTAAAGGTCATGTGTGTGGAAAGGGCGGGGCCAACTCAATATTGAACACTACGGACTAAGACTGGGAGGCCATTAAAGGTCATGTGCGTGGAAAGGGCGGAGCCAACTCAATATTGAACCCTACGGACTAAGACTGGGAGGTCATTAAAGGTCATGTGTGTGGAAAGGGCGGGGGCCGACTCAATATTGAACCCTACGGACTAAGACTGGGAGGCCATTAAAGGTCATGTGCGTGGAAAGGGCGGGCCAACTCAATATTGAACCCTACGGACTAAGACTGGGAGGCATTAAAGGTCATGTGCGTGGAAAGGGCGGGGGCCAACTCAATATTGAACCCTACGGACTAAGACTGGGAGGTCATTAAAGATCATGTGCGTGGAAAGGGCGGGGCAAACTCAATATTGAACCCTACGGACTAAGACTGGGAGGTCATTAAAGATCATGTGTGTGGAAAGGGCGGGGGCCAACTCAATATTGAACCCTACGGACTAAGACTGGGGGGCCATTAAAGGTCCTGTGCGTGGAAAGGCCGGCGACCAATACTTGGGGCAATCTAGTGTAGCTTCTTTCTCCAATCGCTGCAAGCATCAGCCTGGCTCAGTGTCCTCACTCACAACATTTGAAGGCCTCACAAGCTGAATACAAGCGAGGACTGCGACTGCTGTCCATGGTGCTGACCAGCCTACAGAGCACGCTGCAAAATGTTATCCTCCTGCCGCCATTGGCTGCTGCCGGGCCCATTACGTGAACCTCTCAGATAAAAAAAAACCAGCGGAAGTTATTCAGCGCCGAGTGTTTACAGTGTCAGCCATGTAAAGTGCGGCAGGTGGGAGGTTAATGGGAATCTTCTCCAGAATCCAATAACCGCATGTAAATCTCCGCCGCGTCTAGGCCGTGCGCTTCTGGCCAGCTGCGGGGGCACCAGGAAGATCAATTAGAGTTTTCTCCCCGGGAGCTACTGTATAAATAAAGGCAGTGCTGTGGTGTTAAAAAATAAAATAAAAAAGAATAAAATTAAAAATAAGCAAAAAAAGAATGAAATAAAATAATAAATAGTAATTTTTTTAATAAAAATATATTATATGTAATTAAAAAAATAAAAATGAAATAAATGAATAACAAATAGATTAAAATCAGAGGAAATTATAAAAATAAAAATGAAAAGTATGCATGTGTGTATATATATATATATATTATTATATTATATATTTATATATTGATTTATTTCATTTAAATTTAGAGCAGCTTAAATTTTATTTAATATATTAATTTAATTTCTTCTCCTTTACTTTCTATTTTTTTTATAATTTTTTATTTAAATTTTTATTTGAAATTATATTTATTTACTGTTAATCTCTCTCTCTCTATATATATTTATTGTATATATATATATATATATATATATATATATATATACAGGGGCAGACTGACAACTCATGAGGCCCCCGGGCAATAGGGGATCATGGGGCCCGTGTCCTTGCCCAAACTCAAAAAAGCCTATGAAAAAGGTACCAGGGGCATCTCATGGGACCCCCTACTGACCCCGGGCCCTCGGTCAATCCGCCCCTGTGTAGATATATATATATATATATATATATATATATATATATATACACACAATAAATATATATAGAGAGAGAGAGAAAGAGAGAGAGAGAGAGAGATTAACAGTAAATAAATATAATTTCAAATAAAAATTTAAATAAAAATCTATAAAAAAAATAGAAAGTAAAGGAGAAGAAATTAAATTAATATATTAAATAAAAAAAATTTTAAAGCTGGTCTAAATTTAAATGGAATAAATCAATATATAAATAGCACGTAAGTAATATAAAAATAAAATAAATAACATTTCAAATAATAATTGAAATTAAAATAAAGTTAATACAAAATAGAAAAGAAAAAGAAAAAAAAAACTGAAGCTGGTCTAAAATAAATGAAATAAATAAATAGCTGAAAAAATGTATAAAAAGTAAATACAATTTCAAGGAAGGTCCCTGTGACTAATGGAAAGGGCCCTGGGACCAGTGGCAAGAGCCTCAGGACCAGTGACAAGGTCTTCGGGAGAGATTAACAGTAAATAAATATAATTTCAAATAAAAATGTAAATAAAAATCTATAAAAAAAATAGAAAGTAAAGGAGAAGAAATTAAATTAATATATTAAATAAAAAAAATTAAAGCTGGTCTAAATTTAAATGGAATAAATCAATATCTAAATAGCACGTAAGTAATATAAAAATAAAATAAATAACATTTCAAATAATAATTGAAATAAAATAAAGTTAATACAAAATAGAAAGAAAAGAAAAAGAAAAAAAAAAACTGAAGCTGGTCTAAAATTAAATGAAATAAATAAATAGCTGAAAAAATGTATAAAAAAAGTAAATACAATTTCAAGGAAGGTCCCTGTGACTAATGGAAAGGGCCCTGGGACCAGTGGCAAGAGCCTCAGGACCAGTGACAAGGTCTTCGGGAGAGATTAACAGTAAATAAATATAATTTCAAATAAAAATTTAAATAAAAATCTATAAAAAAAATAGAAAGTAAAGGAGAAGAAATTAAATTAATATATTAAATAAAAAAAATTAAAGCTGGTCTAAATTTAAATGGAATAAATCAATATCTAAATAATAGCACGTAAGTAATATAAAAATAAAATAAATAACATTTCAAATAATAATTGAAATAAAATAAAGTTAATACAAAATAGAAAGAAAAGAAAAAGAAAAAGAAAAAAAACTGAAGTTGGTCTAAAATTAAATGAAATAAATAAATAGCTGAAAAAATGTATAAAAAGTAAATACAATTTCAAGGACTAATGGAAAGGGCCCTGGGACCAGTGGCAAGAGCCTCAGGACCAGTGACAAGGTCTTTGGGACCGATGGAAAGGATGGGGTCGGGTGGTGGTTGTGGCCTTCATTGTTTCTTGCATTGGGGCCCCGAAGGCTCTAGTGACACCTCTGGAGAGTTATTTATCTCTGGTAAGCCTTTGGCTTTGGATTTTTATTTGGCGTGGGACTCACAGCATCACCCTCTGAACCAGGGGTGGACTGACAACTCATGGGGCCCCGGGCAATAAGGGGATCATGGGGCCCCTGTGACCTTGCCCAAACTCAAAAAAGCCTATGAAAAAGGTACCAGGGGCATCTCATGGGGCCCCCTACTGACCCCGGGCCCTCGGGCAGTGCCCACGTTTCCAAACGGTCAGTCCGCCCCTGCTCTGAACTTGTTGGCTGCAAATGCAAGTTTCTGAACCATTTCATGGGTGTGGACTTTTGGAATCATTATTATTTTCTCCATTTTATTTGGTATACTTTTGGTTATGGCGTAGGTTTGTATTTTTTGGCGTAGCTAGCACAGCACGGTTAATATGTGAATATTGGTGTTCCGGTAAATATGTCTTAGCATGACGGCAGCTTCATATTTCTTCAATATATAGAATTCCAGAAGTGCGGTTTCCTGTGAGTATATCATACAGCCAGCTGAGACTTGTGGTCCCCCCCGTGGCCCAGGTGTCGCTGGTGTCCCATATCAGCCTCTACGACACACATCTCCTCCTCAGAACGTTGCGCTCCGGCTCTTTGGAGGGCACGTGGCCCCAGACGCCGAGCGCCGGGATCGAGGACTGGAAGGAACTCTGCTGAATTAGCTCTAATGAAAAGAATTTATTCCGCTGAACCGACTCCAAACACTGAAGTGATGGATGGGGAACGGCGACTTCTGGAGGATGACGGTGCTGAGGTGTCATTCAAATTTAAAGTGCATTTCCAGGCATCACCCCAATTCATCGCCAGTCCTCCCTCTCTGCATCACGTCCCGGCAGTCATTTTTTTCTTTTACTTTGTTTCTGCAGCAAGAAAATGAACTTTTATTACTCTCTGTGGCATCATCACAAAACGTCTGGCAGGGACAACTGCTGGGACCTCAGTTTCTTCCAATGTAGACCACCCCACCCACACACTTCCTCCAGAACTACATCTCCCAAGAGCCCCTTTTCATTCACACGGTGTATGGGTCAAGGCAGCAGCATTGTTTTATTTGCAAAGAAATCAACGTATGCATGTGACAGGAGATAGAGAGCAGTGGCTGGGGGAGGGGGGGGGGGTAGGTGGGATGGGATGGACAGGGGTGTGGTAGGTAGAAGGGGACAGAGAGGAGCAAAGGATAGGTGTGGTGGGACGGGGAAGGGTGAGGGGTTAAGTGGGATGGGCAGAGATGGGCAGGAAGTGGGTGGAGTGGGACAGAGAGGAGCAGGGGATATGTGGGGTGGGACAAAGAAGGGCGGAAAGTGGGTGGAGTGGGACAGAGAAGGATGGGGGATAGGCGGGGTGGGACATGGAGGTGCAGGGAATAGGTGGATTGGGACATGGAGGGGCAGGGAATAGGTGGAGTGGGACATG